CCCAGCTTCTTCAGAAATCCTTTCCATAAAGGTTATGAACAGAATCGGTGACAAAGGGCAGCCTTGGCGGAGTCCAACTTTCACTGGGAACGAGCCCGACTTACTGCCGGCAATGTGGACCAAGCTCTGACACCGGTCATACATGGACCTAACAGCCCGTATCAGAGGGCCTGGTACCCCATACTCCCGGAGTACCCCCCACAGGGCCCCCCGAGGGACGCGGTCAAACGCCTTCTCCAAATCCACAAAACACATGTAGACTGGTTGGGCAAATTCCCACGCACCCTCCAGGATCCCCCTAAGGGTATCGAGCTGGTCCAGTGTTCCACGGCCAGGACAAAAACCACATTGCACCTCTTGAATCTGAGGTTCAACAATCTGATGGACCCTCCTCTCCAGAACCCCTGAATAGACCTTACCAGGAAGGCTCAGGAGTGTGATCCCCCTGTAGTTGGAACACATCCTGCAGTCCCCCTTTTTAAATAAGCAGACCACCACCCCGGTCTGCCAGTCCAGTGGAACTGCCTCCGATGTCCACGCGATATTGCAGAGCCTCGTCAGTCAACACAGCCCCACAACATCCAGAGCCTTAAGGAACTCCGGGCAGATCTCATCCACCCCTGGAGCCTTGCCACAGAGGAGCTTTTTAACCACCTCAGTGAGCTCAGCACCAGAGATTTGAGAGGCCAACCCAAAGTCCCTAGACTCTGCTGCCTCACCGGAAGTCGTGTTGGTGGGATTGAGGAGGTCTTCGAAGTATTCTGCCCACCAATCCACAACGTCCTGAGTAGAGATCAGCAGCACACCGTCCCCACTATAGATAGTGTTGGTAGTGCACCGCTTTTCCCCTCTGAGGCGCCGGATGGTGGACCAGAATCTCCTCGAAGCCGTACGGAAGTCTTGCTCCATGGTCTCAACGAACTCCTCCCATGCCCGGGTTTTTGCCTTGGCGACCACCCGAGCTGCGTTCCACTTGGACTGCCGGTACCCGTCAGCTGCCTCTGGAGTCCCACAGGCCAAAATGACCAGATAGGACTCTTTCTTCAGCTTGACAGCATCCCTAACTGCTGGTGTCCACCAGCGGGTTCGAGGGTTGCCACCACGACAGGCACCGACGATCCTGCGACCACAGCTCCGGTCGGCCACCTCAATAATGGAGGAACGGAACAGGGTCCATTCAGACTCAATGTCCCCCGCCTCCCCCGGAACATTTTGGAAGTTCTGACGGAGGTGGGAATTGAAGCTCCTTCTGACAGGAGACTCGATACGTTTGGGCCTGCCTGGTCTGACCGGCATCCTCCCCCACCATCTGAGCCAACTCACCATCAGGTAGTGGTCAGTTGACAGCTCCGCCCCTCTCTTCACCCGAGTGTCCAAGACATGCGGGCGCAGGTCAGATGAAACAACAACAAAGTCGATCATCAAGCTGCGGCCTAAGGTATCCTGGTGCCAAGAGCACATATGGACACCTTTATGTCTGAACATGGTGTTCATTATGGACAATCCATGACTGGCACAGGAGTCCAATAACAAAACACCACTCGAATTCAGATCAGGGGGACCGTTCCTCCCAACCACACCGTTGTGATTTATATCTGTGAAAGGCGCTATATAAATAAACTTTTACTTACTTACTTACTTACCTCTCCAGGTCTCACTGTCGTTGCCCACGTGAGCGTTAAAGTCCCCCAGCAGAACGAGGGAGTCACCGGAAGGAGCGCCTTCCAGCATCCCCTCCAAGGTCTCCAAAAAGGGGGGGTAGTCTGAACTGTAGTTCAGCCAGAACCCGTCCCCCCACACGTGGGCGGAGGGAGGCTACCCTCTCATTCACCGGGGTAAACCCCAACGTACAGGCACCAAGATGGGGGGCAACTAATATGCCCACCCCTGCTTGGCGCCTCTCAGTGGGAGCAACTCCAGAGTGGTAGAAAGTCTAACCCCTCTCAAGGAAACTGGTTCCAGAGCCAGAGCCATGCGTTGAGGTGAGTCTGACTACATCTAGTCGGAACCTCTCAACCTCACACACCAACTCAGGCTCCTTCCCCACCAGAGAGGTGACACTGCATGTGCCAAGAGCCAGCTGTAGCCGAGGATCAGACCGCCAAGTTCCCCTTCCTCGACTACCACCCGTCACACACTACACCCGACCCCTTTGGCCCCTCCCACGTGTGGTGAGCCCATGGGAAGGGGGACCCACATTTCCTCTTCGGGCTGTGCTCCATGGGTGAAAGCCAGGCCACCAGGCGCTCGCCAACGTGCCCCACCTCCAGGCATGGCTCCAGAAGAGGGCCCCGATGGCCCACATCCGGGCGAGGGAACATGGTTTCCATTTATATATAATTCATCATAAGAGGTCTTCGGGCTGCTCTTTGCCTGATCCCTCACCTAGGACCTGTTTGCCATGGGGTGACCCTACCAGAGTCAGAAAGCCTCAGACTTCTTAGCTCCTAGGATCATTGAGACACTCAAACCCCTCCACCACGGTAAGGGGGCAGCCCAGGGAGAGGCTAAGTCTAAATATTTAAAATCGTATCTAATTATAAAATAAATCTTCAAGTTTTAAATTAAATTTAAATATTCCTGGACCAGGTTACGCTTGCAAATGAGATTCGGCATCTCAATGTGTTTTTCTCCTGGATAAATAAAGGAATAATTATAACTAATAAATATCTAAATAGTTAAAATCAAATCTAATTTATAAACAAACCTTTACATTATAAATCAAATCTAAGTAACTAAAACTGAATTAAAATAAAGGTATATTTAAGTATTTATATTTAAAATATTTAGTTTCAAATCTAAAATGAAGGTGGTATGGAAACATATGAAAGTTTGTTTAATCCAAATGATTAGAATTAAGTCTAAAATGAAGTTATGTTTCATCCAATTTTAATGATTATTTTATTTCCTTTGGAAAATTTTCAGCTAGCGAACGTTTAAATAAAATTCATAAAAGACCTTCATGGATTTTACAATCAGCCTGAGAAAAAAAAGATTCTGTGATGCATTTATTCTCTGGCTGTACTGAACATCACACACACACACACACACACACACACACACACACACACACACACACACACACGCACACACACGCACACACACACACACACTGAACCAGAGTGACCCTGCAAAGTGAGCTGGTCTGTTACAGTAGCTCCTTCGCATCTTCTTGGCATCAGCCCAAAAGCTAAAAATAAAGCAGCGAGTTTCCGACTCTGCATCCACTAATTTGTTTCTGCAGAACTCTGCTTTAGTCGTTTGCACGTGTTTAGAGTTTTATGGCTGTTGGACGTTTTCATGCCCTTCCCGAGGATGAATCAAACTCCACTGGATCTCGGACCATCTGCAAACCGGTGTGAAGGTTGGGGGCCACTGGCTGAAACTAATAGTGATGGGCAGGAATGAAGGGACTGAAATGAATCTGCGGTTCTGAACCAGATCACCTTGAAGTCAATGTGCACTCACTGAACTCAGATAGTCAATGAGTCTTTTTGTCTTTTCTTTTCTTTTGCCAGTCAGTCCTTGCACCAGAGGAGCGTGAGCTTGGTCCGCACAGCAGTAAGTCGGACCTGTTCCCAGTGAGACCTGGACTCCGCCAGGGCTGCCCTTTGTCACTGGTTCTGTTCTTTACCTCTATGGACAGAATTTCTAGATGCAGCTATGTTGTGGGGGGTGTCTCTGCTGTTTGCAGATGATGTGACCTCCTGCTCTTGCTGGGTGGGTTCGCGGTCGAGTGTGAAGTGGCTGGGATGAGGATCAATACCTCCAAATCCAAGACCATGGTTCTAGACCGCAAAAAGGTGGCTTGCCAACTCCTGATTGGAAGTGAGGTCTTGTCTCAAGTGGAGGAGTTTAAGTGTCTTGGGGTCTTGTTCACGAGTGAGTGAAGAAGGGAGCGGGAGATCGACAGGTGGACTGGGGCAGCATCTGCAGTGATGCAGATGCTGAGCCTAAAGGCCAGGCTCTCAATTTACCGGTCAGTCTACGTCCCAACCCTCATCGCGGAGATCGCGGATACAAGCAGCTGAAATGAGTTTCCTCTGGAGGGTGGCTGGGCTCAGAGGTGAGGAGCTCAGGCATTCGGGAGGGACTCGAAGTAGAGCTGCTGCTCCTCCTCATTGATAGGAGCCAGCTGAGGTGATTTGGGCATGCTGTCAGGATGCCACCTGGACGCCTTCCTGAGGTCCTGCTGGTGGCACAGTGGTTAGCACTGTTGCCTCGCAGCACGAAGGTTGCAGGTTCGAAACTCGGCTGCGGCCTTTCTGCATGGAGTTGCATGTTCTCCCCATGCATGCGTGGGTTTCCTCCGGGTACTCCGGTTTCCCCCACAGATCACAACATGCCCTATAGGTTATAAATTGTAAGTCGCTTTGGATAAAAGCGTCTGCTAAGTGAATAAACATAAACATAAACAGGAGGCCCCCGGGTTGACCCAGGACATGTTGGAGCAAGAACATCTCCAATCTGGCCAAGGAACGCCTTGGGGTCCTGCCGGAGGAGCTGGTGGAGGTGGCCGGGGAGAGGGCTGAACATAAGATTTACATGCAAATAGTGTTTTCTTTCCTTTTGGAATGTGCAAATAATGATTTAAGAGTGGAATGGAGATCATTTAAAAACAAAAAGTCTAACAAAATGTACTGCATTTACTTTGGCTTGTATTTTATTATAATCAGAGTAAACCAAAGAGTTTGTAATCTGTAAATTTAGCACGACAGTCCAGCAGGAAGCCAGCGGTAAAAACAACATTATTCCAGTAAAACATGTTTTACAGCCTGTTATCACTTGATTTATTATCAGGCTGTGGATTAAAGCTGTTACTGTCTGCAGAGCGGGCTCGAAAAGTCATGAGCATCACACATGGATGTGCAGAGCATTAAAGGGCAGGATGTGGAAGATTTTACAACCAAATCAGAGGGTTTTTAATTTAGGGTAAAGTAGCTGAAATGGAAATGGCATGAAATAAAAACAAAAACGAGTCTTATTTCTTGTGTTTTTAGTTCCCATAAGATGAGGGCTAAAGGCAGCGGCGTGGAGAGCCCAGCTGACGGGGTTCTCGTGGTTCCACCGGGCGACCGCGACATAAACCAAGATCAGGACGTGGGTCTGTCGGTGAAGAGCCTGAAGAGCAAAGTTCAGCTGAAGGAAGGTGAGGAAGAGGAGGAGGTGATCTCTGATAAGGAGAAGCTGCTGTTAGATTCCACAGAGGCTGGAGATAAACGCGGGAACATCATGGACCTGTCCAAAGAGGACCTGCTGAAACTGCTGGGAATCATGGAAGGAGAGGTTCAGGTGGGATATATGACCATCTCACTTAGAGGTTTAGCTTTTTATTTGTTATCTGAGTAAAACTAAATATGAATGAAATTTAGTTTTAGTGCAACAGCGCCATCCTGTGGTTGGAATGGGTATTAAAGGTGCTGGAGCAGACAAAAACAGAACATTTTTGAAAAATAATTGTTTTTACATTAACAAGATAAAGAAAGTTTATTGTAAAATTAATTTGTTACAAAATAAATCTAATAAAATTAAATAAAAAAACTATTAATCAAAACCACTTATAAAGGCTAAAAATGGTCCAACAAACATTTATTAAAACAAAACAAAAATAAATGAATTGATAGTAAAAATATGCTCAGTCAGAAATATAAATGAAAATCAATTAAACAAAATGTCCCTTTAGCAAACCTAAAAAGCACTTTTTAAAGCTACAAGGAGGTTTGGCACCAAAGAGCAAAAGTAGAAAGTAAAAAAAACATTTAATTATAATGGAATTTTTTAGGAAAACCTTAAATCTTGATCTAAAATGTCCTTTAACTGTACAAATATGCATAATTTCAACCTTTTTTTGTCCTCCTCATTCCATTAAAAATAACATAAACTGCATTTTGTGTGATTTCAGGCCAGAGAAGATGTAATCTGCATGTTGAAGACCCAGCAGACTCCTCCAGAAGTCTTTGAGTCCCAGTATGGCTGTGTGGCCCCTGGTTCGGCCCTCAAAGCTCTGCAGAGGGACAGCTTCATCACCGGCGCTCAGCGGAGCAACAAAAGCGTTTACCAATCACCTATGATTGAGGTTAGCCAGCAACCTCAGATTTAAAAATGTTATATTAGAACGCCAGACTCCTAAAAACAATAAAAGTAACGTTTGTGCTACGTGCAACAAGAGGCTTGTGCACCGAAAATGCTCAGTGTGTCACATCCCCTTCAATAGAAGCGCATTTGTTTGTTGTGCTTTTGAACTTTGCATGTGTCTGTCTCTTTTTCAGCTGAAGCATCTGCAGGAGAAGCACGCGGAGACGTACCGGCGGATGCTGGGACAGCTGCTGCTCTCTGAAAAGTGCCACCGCCACACGGTCCTCGAGCTGGAGACGGAGAAACGCAAACACGCCGACTACATGAACAAAAGCGACGACTTCACCAACCTCCTGGAGCAGGAGAGGGAAAGGTGAGGAGGGAAACGCTGAAGCGTTAGCCTTAAAATAAAACTTTAAGATGTTCTTTTTATTAGGTTTTTGATTATGCAGGCAGGACTTCTGATGATGTTCTGACTTTAAATGAGCCTACAGCAGCTGCTTCGGTCAGATGTACTAAAGAGATAGGAAACATTAAGAAATAGGTTAGGGTTAGAGTGCACAAAACCCAGGATGGATCTCAAAGACGCAGATGCTTGGTATTGTGGGTGTTTTTTGTGCACAGAGCTCGGTGCAGGTGTTTAACCATCACACATCTGGGATGGTTCTCCAGATAAAACCTAGATGGAGCTCATTTTTTCATCTCACTTTGGGGAACAGATGGAAAAAGGAGAAAAACACCAACACAAAAGACATTTTCTGTTGTCCAGCTCCATTTTGCAGTTCTCTCTCACAGAAGCATCTCACCCTTATCGGTGTGACCTCCCTCATCCGTCAGAAAGGTGAAGAGAGAAGCATCCGTGGGTTTGTGCCAAACATCTGGAGGAATGCAGAACGACTGTGAGCCGTTGGATAGTCGCACCTTTCATGCAACGGAGCAATTTATTCGTCAGGAATTTAAAATTTTTAAGTGGCATGGTGGAATGTGTTCAGGATGAGAGGAAACAGTATCCGCTTCTGAAGGAAGGTCAGAGTCACGCAAGCAAATGAAAACCTGCAGAAGATCCTCGAGTTTCAAACCGCTCTTTAATAGTCGTTAAATATTTGTGTTTCTGACTCAGATATTCTACAAAGGAGCCTCTGAGCAGGAAATATGCGCCGGAATATTTTCCATCCTCATGGATGTTTGTGCATCAGCTGAAAATACGTTCACCTGCAACATTTGGCACCAATATCAAAAACAATCTCCTACTCATCAAAGCCACTGACCAAATATTAAAACACGCAAAATTTAACTTTCTTATTGATCAAAAAGAAGAAAGTGTTTGGGAAAGGTCTCTTGTTGGTTTGCTGTTAAGATTTCTGTTGTTTGCCTGCAGACACTCAGGCCTTTTCTTCCACAGCAGCAGTAAACAGCTTCTTTATGACTTGACCATCTGTGCCAGACATCATGCTTTGACCTTTACATGACTCTAATATTAGAGGCTTTTTTACTGTACACATGTCTATTTTATTAGATGTTTTTTTATGGTAGCCAAGTTAGTTAATTATAACAAGCAATAAAAGCTTCTTGTAAAATCCATAAATTTACCCAAAAAGGGCTGAAAATGTGACATTTGCAGCTCGTTCATTCACAGAGACGTAGACAACTCTCTGGGTTTTCACTTGGAGCTTCCTGTGCTGATTGGTTGTGTTCTCCCAGATCTTCTTCAACACACGGGAGTCGTTCAGATCCTCCAGGTCTGGTTTCTTCATCACATCTAAGAGCGTACATCCTCCGCTCACTCCTGCGGCTGCACGTTTTCCAGCTTCTATGCCAAACATTTCATGTTTTCTGTAAAATAGTTGGATTTGACTAAACTAAGCACATGTAGTTGTCTGTGTTAGAGGCTTCATGAACTCCCTGAGTAAAAGTGTGAAAGCTGGGGGTAACTTTTGCAGACTACTTCTGTCGTGGGTTTGGTTCCACCCACATTTCCCACTGTTCAAATCCAAGAAAACACACACTCTCCTACACTTCAGCTCTCTGCATGGACGGGGTTACAGCACTCACAAGTGGAGCTGCAGTGTGTTGACTTCACTAACAAATATCTTGACGACATGCTTGAGAAATGATGGGAGAAGAGCTGTGTACAAAAGGACTTAATAAAAGAAAAAACAGGACTCGGTGGGTAAGTTCTGAATGGACTCTGGTTCTGATGCGCTGTGGGATGTCGTATGAATGAAGCTCATTCTGGACCCCTCAGTGGTTGTTGAAGTTGCACAGTCCTCCATGTGTGCTGCTGCTCTCATTTGGTTTATTTTGCAATGCAAAAAAGTTTACTTTGAATAACATATTAAGAGTTTCACTGAAAGTGCACAAGAGGGGAAGCAGCCGCTTTGCATGACTTTAGTTGGAGCGGGAGCAGAGAGCGGAGCACGAGCAGCATAGAGAGGAGCTGAGAGAAAGACCACCGCTCGGAGAGGGGCTGGGAGTTTAAAACGTTCACCCACGGTTTGTGTCCTCTGTCCCAGCGGCAGGGGGTCAACGTGTGGGGCTGTAGTTTTGTTTAGGCTCCATGGTTAGTAAAAATATGGTTTGTTATTTAACTGTTTTTATTTTACTGATGAGTTCATGAAAGCTTAAAACAGAAAAAATAATTATTATTGACTTATTTTTACACCTCTGCATTGGATTACTTGTAGAACTTTTTTAATTTCAAAAATAGGCAAAGTGTCTTAGTTGTGCCTGTTTTAGTAGTCGGTTTAGACCCAACGGGTAGTTTTAAACAGATTTTTTGATCAAATTCAAAACAAAAACAAGACTTTTCTTAGAATCTGTCACACGATAAATGAATCCCAACACTGAATAAATAATCTAACTGCTGTGAAAACAAACGTATACTTCATAATCATTTTATGTTAATTATAATGTAATTATTATGACACTTTTACAATTATTAGTTTTTTGTTGGTTTTATTTCTCTGGATTTTACTGTTTGTGTTTCTGTGCTTGAAATCTGACAGATTTATTGACAAAACATTAAAATAACATCCTTGTTTTCCTCTCTGCACACTTTTAGACTGAAGAGGTTGCTTGAGAACGAGAAAGCCTACCAAGTACGAAAGGAGAAGGAGCACTCGACACGTCTGGCCAAGGTGCGAGAGGAGCTGGTCAAACTCAAGTCTTTTGCCTTGATGTTGGTCACCGAGCGCCAGCAGCATCTGGAGCAAATGGATCAGCAGAGTCACCGTGTCCAAGAGCTCAGCGTCCAGCTCCAGCAGCAGGACCAGGCCCTGAATGAAGCCAGAGAGCATGCTCAGGAAGAAGGTCAAAGGGTGCAGAGTCTGCAGACCGAGCTTAAGGAGAAATCCAGTAAGCTCTCCCAGCAACATGAAGAGATGAGCACCAAACTGTCCACTCAGGAGCTTCAAAACCGCCAACTCAGTGCCAACATTTTGGAGCTCACACACAAAGTGGAGGAACTAGAGGAGAGCAATGGGGCCTTGAGAAAATCTGAGGAGGAAATTCAGGAATTAAGAGAAAAGATCAGCAACGGGGACTGTGGTAGCTCTAACTTGATTGCAGAACTGGAGAACCTGAGGAAGCGAGTGCTTGAGATGGAAGGAAAGGATGAAGAGATTTCCAAGACAGAGAATCAATGTAGGGAGCTAAGGAAGAGGCTGGAAGAGGAGAACGTCAAGAGCAAAGCCCTCAGGCTGGAAGTAGAAAGGCTCCAGAAAAGAATGACGGAGATGGAGACAGTCGAGGAAGCGTTCAGCGTTAGCAAAGCCGAGTGTGCACAGTTACACACCGCCCTGGAAAGAGAGAAGATCCTGACCAAAGAGCTTTCTGATGAAGTAATAGATCTCAAGATCCGTATGAAAGAGCTTGAGTCTTCAGAACTCAAATTGGAAAAGTCTGAGTTAAGCCTCAAAGATGACCTGAGGAAGCTCAAGTCATTGACAGTTGCTTTGATGGATGAGAGAAAGACGCTGATAGAAACCGTCAAGTCTGATGAAAAGAAAGTAGAAGACTTGAGCAAGACGGTCAAACTTGAGCAGGCCAGGGTCATGGAGGTGACTGAAAAACTGATAGAAGAAAGCAAAAAGCTCCTAAAACTAAAATCCGAAATGGAAACCAAAGTGGAGACATTAACTGTGGAGAAAGGGGAGCTCAGCACTAAGCTAGCTTACGAAACGGACAAAACGGAAGATCTTAACTTCAGGATCAGCCAAATGAAAAAGAAGTTGGATGGGTTTGAGCAGGCAGATAACCTACCTGTGAGGAATTCAGTGCTCAGCGATTTGGGTAGAATGCCCGATCCCAACAGGAAAGAGGACAACAAAGTCAAAGAGCTGTCGTTTGAAATAGAGCGCCTGAAAAACCGCCTGAAACAACTGGAAGTAGTGGAGGGAGACTTGATGAAGACGGAGGACCAGTACGACGTGCTGGAAAAGAAGTTCATGACTGAACAGGAGAAAGCTAGTGTTCTCTCCCAGCAGGTGGAGGAAATGAAGAGTCAGATTGCACGAAACAAAGCCATCGAGAAAGGAGAGGAGGAAAGCCGGGAGGAAGATCTTCGACAGCAATGCAAGAGAGAGGAGAACAGAACCAGGGAGCTGCAAGCGGACGTCCTAGCCCTCAAGGAGAAGATTCATGAGCTAATGCACAAAGAAGACCAACTTTCTCAGCTCCAAGTGGACTACTCTATCCTGCAGCAGAGATTCTTGGAAGAAGAAGAGAAGGCCAAGAACATGGGCACTGAAGTTTTCCATCTCGGCAAAGAGCTAGAGATAGCAAAGCGTCAAAGTCGAGCGTTACGGCCTAGCCTAAACGGCAGGAGAATGGTGGACGCAGCTGTCACATCCACTGCAGTACAGACGGAGCCGTCATCCACTGAACTGACAGAGGAGGAAACACCAGCCGTGTTCATCAGGAAGTCTGTTCAAGAGGAGAATCACATCATGAACAATTTCCGACAGAAATGTCTGAAGAAGCCGGCTGAAAAAAGCAGTCCTGTTTCTTCGTCTAGCAGCGACTTGGGTATCAAGAAATCCTGGATTCCCTGGATGAGGAAAAAGGATGCGGCTCCTCCAGAAACCAGTCTAGAAAAGCCTCTGCACATCAACGGGGGACATTTGCCCTCTAAACCAACCATGCCTCAAAACCAAGGGCCGCCTTTACACATCCGGGATGCACCAGATCATCAAAACAATGTAGCTACTCTTGACATCAGTAGTCCAACTTCTGAGGATGCTTTCTCGAGCTCTGCTCCCCTCAGCCCCAACCCATCTCAACCTAAATCCAGAATCACCATCATTCCCACTTGTTCTGTCCCAACCACCAAAAGAAGAACTCCTACTGGACCCCAGGTTCTTCAAAGAGCCAAGTCTCCAGTCACCATCACAACAATATCCAGAGCCAAGTCTCCAGACAACAGCCGGCCTTTGTCCTCTTCCTCAGGAAGGCCGCTTTCCCCAGTTTCTATCGTGACAATGAGTAATGCTGTAGTACCTGAAGGGTCTTCCTCCAGAGAGCCCCAGGAGTTGACCATGGGCCGGGCTGTGTTCAGGGTTACCCCTGAGAAACAGATGGTTCCAGTGCCTGTTCGAAAGGGCCAAAGCAATGGTAGTATCATCACCACCACGGACGATAACAAAATCCACATTCACCTCGGCAACAGCGTCGCCTCAAAGATGGTGGTCCGACCGGTCGCTAATGCAACCGAAGGCAAAGAACTGACCCTATCAACTGGGACGGTTTTACGTTCACCCCGTCAAGTAACTACCACCACGACCAGGAGCATGCAGACAAAAGTGTCAAGTAGTATTACAATATCTACAGTGACGTCTACGACTTCGAGATCCCCCCAAAGTTTGGTAAGTTTAGCATTTGAGTTGCTCGTTCACCTTAGTGAATTCTTTAACCCTCCCACTGTCCTAATGGGTGACCCTGTGACCATTGAGCAGGGTTGATAGTTTATCCATTGAGGTCCATGTGGCAGGGGTGAGGAGTGAGCACCACCTCACCCCTGCCACATGGGCCTCAAGGAATAAACCATCAATCCTGCTCAATGGTCAACTTTCCTCGCGGGGTCACCCATTAGGACAGTGGGAGGGTTAACGTGGAAACATTTCTTCTGCTGCAGTGCAAAGACCCTTTCAAACTGCTCAATGATTCAATCTATTATCTTAGGAGTCCAAGAATCATGTTTTTTTTCTACATTTGGAAACTATTCTTTGAGCTTCTTTATAACATATGAATCTTTGCTGGGGCTCAAAATGGCCCAGGAGCCCATGTCCAAAGACAACCCCGTAATAAAGCCCTTCAGTGGAAATAGAGATGTTTATGCTTATGCATTTAGCAGACGCTTTTGTCCAAAGTGACTTACAAGTGATAATCGGCATGTTGCCCTTGAGGCTAACAACAACAATAACAACAACTTGACATCAATCATGGAGAGGAGGGAACAAAGGAGTGGACGGTAGAGAGGGGGGACGGGTGCAGGGAGGGTGCTAGTTTAGAAGATGCTCTCTGAAGAGCAGGGTCTTCAGGAGTTTCTTGAAAATTGAAAAGGAAGCCGCAGTTCTGGTAGTGCTTGGAAGGTCATTCCACATTTGTGGAACGATGCATGAGAAGAGTCTGGATTGTCCTGAGCGTGGTGTAGGCACTGCTAGCCGACGATCCTGTGATGACCGGAGCAGCCGGGCCGAGACGTAAGCCTTTGCAAGAGGATTCAGGTAGATGGGAGCCGTACCATCTCGGACTTTGTATGCTAGTGTTAGCAGTTTGAATTTAATGCGTGCTGCTAGAGAGATTTGCTCCACACTCTGCTAGGACGCAAATATTAACTCATTCACTGCCATTGACGACAAAAGTTGTCATTTTAAATCCAAGCGTTGAAAATTGCTAGCAGCGAAGGGCTTTACTGATCAGGAAACGTCTGGCAGTGAATGAGTTAAATGAGCTTCATGTTGATTGGCCGCTTTACCCTGATGGCTCTACAAGGCTGTCTGAAACTAGACACTCTGTTCAGCCGTCTACAGTATATCTCTATAAGCAAGCTATGGATTTAGCTGGCATTCATTCAAAGTCTGGTTATTCCCAGTTCATCCTGAAATGTTACATGTGTGCTCCGACATTCTTCCTTGTTGTTTTCCTCTTGTCCAACAGGGGCGTTAGCATAGCTCCAGCTAGCATTGTTCTACGGTTAGCATTACCATGACCAACATTGCCAATGCTAAAGTGAATTGTGACATGCAAATTTGAGGGTGTGCGTCTAAACCAATGACACGTTATACCAGCTTTTCTCAGAACGAACCTTTTCCCCGTGGTCATTGCAAAACTACTGATTTGCATAGGAAAACAGGCCGGAGATGGCAGAGACTTCTTGGTATGGTACATTAGACATCCCAAGCTGCCTCTACTGAATAAAAACAAAGTAAATGCTGTTTTTGGTTCTAGGACCCCTTTGCGTTTTAGGAAAGCTATTTCCAGAACCTCTCAGTGTGTCATAGCTGTGCTTCGTGTTTCACAGTGTAAATGACTGCAAGCATTATCTCATGATGCTTGAAATAGGAATGAAATAACAGTGTGATGGTGTTTCCCTGGCTCTAGCGTGGTCGTGGCGGATGAGATGAACAGCGTGACTAATTTACCCCTGTGGTATGTTCCAGAGCAGAAGAGCTAATGATGTGGCATTGTGCCCCTTCCCTGACAAAAGTCATGTTGTAACTAGTAGCTGCACATGCAGGACTTGCATGGCTCAGTGCCCTCTGAACCCTGGACTGGGAGGGACAAACAACAAATCCACCTTTACTTTTGTATTCCATAGATCACATAAAACATCAGCTACTCACTGTTCTCGTGGGTAACCAAACTAAACAGGTTTCTTTTTGTAGCCTCTCTGTTTTAAATGCACTTTACTTTCCTCACTTTGCAAAGCAGATTGGACACGATTCCCAGCCAACTCGTACAGGAGTTACCCGCATTCCAATGTCCAAGAGCCTGAAGACAGGGAAAGCTGCTTCCCCTGGAATTTCAAGTGGAGTGAAGCTGGAGTCTCGGACGGAAAGTCAGTCCGTGCGGATCGAGGTTAAGAAATCCACTGTGAACAGCAACACTTAAAAAACGCAGGCAGAGTTTGAAATAACAGCAGCCAAACTACAGCAGCTCAGTAAAATCGTACATGATGATGGTTGGAATGAGAACTAGCTTTTGATTCTATGCATAGAAACATCGTTTTTGCTTGTTTGTCTCGTGTGATTCTTCCTTTTGGACGGAAACAGGATGGAAATAATTTTCAGCACTTGGGTTAAATATTATATCTGACAGCGAACTGATTAACCTTTACTTGCTTTAACTGCTGGTTGTCACACATAAAAATTTAAAATGTTTTGTAAGGACTCTTCATAACAAGGAAATACTATTATGCATAAATTATGTGTTTGTTTGAACTTTTGTGGGTTTGCTGTAAATAATTTTTACTGAGAAGTATTTTAAATAAATGTTGGATCAGAAGACGGACTCGTTTTTGAATAAGACACAAGCAAGAATAAAAAATGAAACAATATTTAAAACTGATTATACAACTGCACGTGAACACATTTTAAATAGCATTTCTACAATAAATCACAGGTTTATGACATTAAGACCTCTTTATATCCTCTTGGCTAAATATACTAAACAATTTCACTAAACATGAAGTTTGAGTTTTTTTTAAAACAATGTTAGATGAAAAGGCAGAAAACTGTTCTCTTACTAGTATAAATGTTATATATATATATATATATATATATATATATATATATATATATATATATATATATATGTGTGTGTGTGTGTGTGTGTGTGTGTGTGTGTGTAAAACATTTATACTAGTATTTGGGATGCAACGATACCACTTTTTTCCAAACTGATACGATACCAATACTTGGATCTGTGTATTCGCCGATACCAATACTTTTACCACTTACAAAAAATTTTAATTTAAAAAAAAAGCAATGATTTGGAATACAGGTTTTATTTTCTTCTCTGCTTTCAACAGAAACAGCCTGTGAGGTAGATAAAAAGTAAAATATATGAATAGAAATCATCACAAAACTAAAATATTAGGTGAACAGAAATGACAAGTTACAGTGAAGCCACTTTCAAGCAACTGCATTGTCCTGGTATCAGTTAACTTTTACCGATATCGGTATGGGTGCATCCCTAATATATATATATATATATATATATATATATATATATATATATATATATATATATATATGTGTGTGTGTATATAATTTATTTCAATTGTAATCAGTGAGCGTGTCATTCATGTCCTTCTGAGCTCAGGTCATTGACCAGAGGCTTGGGAGCTTGAGGGTATTGTGCAGTAGCTCAGCTAGAACCACACTTTTCTAGGCTGAGATGGCTGATGTTTTGCCTCAGTTCAAAGACCAATAAATATCCTGCTGCATCGAATAAACACACACACAGACATTGATACTGACATAATTTTAAAAAAGGTCCTTATTTTGTTTTAAACAGGAAAATCATGAATGTATTTGGATTTCACAATGGATGTATAAACTACTTAAATAAACTAAATAAAAACCAAATACAACAAAGATAGAATTGAATAGAAATGTGGTTATTTTTCCTTTTTGTTCTGCGTCTAAACAAACTTTTCATTTGATTACTTGTAATCTGACGTTTGATTTGGTTGATGGCCACATACTTTGTCTATAATGGATTTATAGGTTGTATTTAGCGCAACTAGATGAAAACAGGAGAATTCAAACCTTTAACGTCCGTCTTTCGAGATTAAGGATTTTTCCGCTCTCTAGCGGGATAAATATGTCAATACGGACAGCGCTCATACAAGACTAAATTCATCAGCACTTTCTGTTGATTTCTTCAAAATAAAACATGCCACTTTAATTTTCTACGGTTTTACGGTCAGTGTTAACAGCATAGTTAGTCTAACAAATGAGAACAAGCTAGAAAGTCCTGACGTATGAACCATACTACTGTACTATAGCTGAAACAAAAATAAACATAAACATTTCCGGAGAGCTGTCGCTACGCGTTGACGTCACTACAGCGTTCTATCATGTCATTGGCTCTCTCGCTTCCGGCTTCTTCCTTCTCCAAGCTCACGGAAGAAATGAAATCATCAACAAAATGAATCGAATTTAAAGTCGAAAAGGATCAAATTAAGTGTCGCTCTCACTTCTGACGGGATTTTTGTTCGCATCACTTGCCGTCTAGGGTCTCATTTGACCGTGTAGAACCACCGAGTATCTGCCGGTAGCTAACTGTTGTGGATTATTAGGTGTAAAGCCTTTCGCAACCATGATGGCGTCAAGCTACAACGCTAAGGACGAGGATGGACACCACTCGGGCTCTGTGAGCCACGGAGGAGCAGGGACTGCTAAAAGTAAAAAACCAGACAACACAGCGTTCAAACAGCAGAGACTACCAGCCTGGCAGCCGATTCTAACGGCTGGCACCGTGCTGCCCGCCTTCTTCGTTATCGGTCTCATCTTCATCCCCATCGGTATCGGCTTGTATGTGACTTCCAACAACATTAAAGAGTTCGAGGTACAGTTCCTGTTATCTTCTCTTCTAGATGGTGTTTATCTAACTTCTAAAACCACAGCTGGGCGCATTAAATCAGACATTTCTACCCATGTATGGGTTTCAAATCTAGATGCATGACTTTGTTTTGATACTAGTATAAATTTAAAGTAACAGCAAAACAGCGCAGACAGGTTCTTAAAAGGGCTGTGTCCCAAATATCTCTACGTATTTAATAAGTATCCGCTAGTTTAGAATAATTATACACAACCCGTATCTGTTTATTACCCAGAAGGCTGCTTTTACGTGTTTATTTAGATAAATCTACGTAATATCAATTTGTTCTGCATTATGGGTGGTTGGATATTTTCTTTGCCCGTGATAAAGTCACTATTTGTATCTTAAATTTGCATTTGGGTGGATTTGTATAATTTTTTTTAGCATAATGCAGTGTTAAACAAATGCAATATACTGAGCTGTAACCTGACATACACCAGCACCACATGCTATGACAAAAACAGAAATGGGTAATTCACACACACAAAACTGGTTACCAAAAGTGTTAAATGAAAGTCGTAGAAAGCAACATTCCTTTTTCCTTTGATGTTTTATTTCTGCTCATTTTCAGATCGATTACACCGGTGTGAATGTGGACAGCCCATGTTACACGTGCGCCAACAACTTCAGCTGGAACAGCACCACGTCGTGCTCCTGCACTGTGAACTTCACGTTGGAGCAGCCGTTTGAGGTGAGCTCAGGTCCTGCGGCTGCACCAGCTTAGATCTTTATCGACCCCATGAATAATAAATGTCTTCAGCCTCAATCCCGAGAACGCTCTCCTGCATTAAAAGAGTAAAGGCCAGCCGTCTCTGTTCTGGCATTGATCATCCATTAGGGTCGACTTATTTTTTTTATAAAAAGAACACTCGAGGTTTGTTTAAAAGCTATTTTAGCATTGATTGCTGTACCTATCAAATATGCAGGCTACCTTTCAGAGAGCTTTGATTTCTGTTGTTGCCTCTTTTTTTAAATAAGTTTGATGAAATTAAAACTCTTTGCCTTCTGAGTAGAAAAGAATGGCTATATTTCTAGTTTCCTTTGAAAATGCAATGTAGTGAAGGCAAGTCAACTGAAATTAATCATTGATCTGTCTTAAAAACTATTTATTACTAAGAGAAGTGTTGTTTATACCAGTGGTACTCAAACTTTTTTGACTGATGTACCCCCTGTGAAATATTTTTTTCAGCCGAGTACCCCCTAATGAGCGCAAAAGCTTTTTTGGTTGTAAGAAACAAAAGACCTTAAATAGAGCACGGTGCCTTCAGTGACTGATTTATTAAATTTTGGAACTGATAAACAAGTACAAAATTCAACCATTTGAAAATAAACTACTTCAAATATTTTAAATATTAATAATCCATTACTAAATGTATTGGAAATATTTTTCATCACTAAAATGTGATTCTAATTAATTAATTGAAAACAGTCACCATATAACTATTTAAAACCATAAGATTACCCATTGAAAAATCCATAAATGTGCAAAAACACTGCCATTTTGGGATAATGAATTTAGCCTACTTCTACTTCTAAACACATTTTATGAACTTTTATTTAATTATTTAATACATATTTTAGGAAAATATTAATTAAATAATTATTTTTTAAAGATTTTCCATGGATACTATTTTTTGAAATGTATGTACATTTTCTCACGTACCCCCTGGAGTTTCTTTACGTACCCCCATTTGAGAAAGGCTGGTTTATACGACACGAGTGCATAACATTTCTGCTGTGATTTGAATTCTGGTTAGGTGTAGGGAGGATTCCTGCTTTGTTTCATATTCAAATCTGGAATCAAGAGTTAAAGCAGCCGATTCAGTCACTGGGAATTGCAAAACCCACTTTATTTAAATTGAATTGGATTTTCCCTTTGTGTAAGCGCTTCGTCGACTTTGCCAACTTTTGAGATGACCGCAGCAGTTGGACCAGATTTAAAACAAAGGCTCGTTTCATCATCTTTTATATTTTTATCGAGTGTTGTTTGTATTCAGTTAACATAAAAAAAAAATCCCTGAACAGCTTCTGGAAGATCGGTGAGTTTTGTGCAAATGCAGATTTCACAAGAACTGAAAATAAATTAAGAATAAAATGAATAAAATCTGGTTATTTCTTGGTAGAAAAGGCAGGAGTTGATTAAAAGTATCAGAATAAAGTAAAAGTTACCAAGTGGGCATCAGTCCCAAGATTTCTGAATAATGGGTGTCTATGAAAGGAAGGGCACGTACAGAAGTGTAGCAGTCTGACGGCTCCACACAGAACAAATCTGATCACTGAGCTGGAACTTTTACAACCAGTTAACTCAACTTTTACAGCCTGCTCACGTCCGTGAAGGTTAATGTTTCCAAAGTGTGTTCGAAATGTCTCAAGTTTCAGCAAATAAATAGTCCTCTTTACAATTCACAGGGAATTCCTCCAGCACTAATAAATGAACTCATCTAAATTCCACAAATGTGGAATGACCTTCCAAGCACTATCAGAACAGGGGCTTCCTTTTCAATTTTCAAGAAACTCCTGAAGACCCTGCTCTTCAGAGAGCATCTTCTAAACTAGCACCCTGCCTGCACCCGAACCCCCTCTACCGTCCACTCCTTTGTTCCCTACTCTCCATGATTGATGTCAAGTTGTTGTTGTTGTTGTTGTTAGCCTCAAGGGCAACATGCCGATTATCACTTGTAAGTCGCTTTGGACAAAAGCGTCTGCTAAACACATAAACATAAATTCAGTGAGTGTAACACATGAAACTGTTTCCTCCTTTCTAATCTGCGTTTGCGCTCCTCCCTCGCCTGCAGAACAACGTCTACATGTACTACGGCTTGTCCAACTTCTACCAGAACCACAGGCGCTATGTGAAGTCCAGAGACGACAGACAGTTGAACGGTGATGCGACTGCTTTAAAGGTACGGTTCTAATCGTGTTCATCAGGTAGAGTCCGGAATAATGTCTGTAGACTTTTCTAAACTGCGGGTCTTTGCGTTCGCTGCTCCTAGACTCTGGAACGTTCTCCCCCGTAGTGTTCGACAGGCCCCAGAACTGGGTCAGTTTAAGTCGGTACTGAAGGCCTTCTTCTATCATTTAGCTTTTATTCAATGATCAAGCTTTTAGTGTTTTTATGTTTTATTGTGACTCGGTATTTTATTGTTGTTTGTTTCTTTCACAACTTTTAGATTTTACCTCTTACCTCCTATATGACTTTTATCTGTTTTTATCTCGGGGTTTGTTCTTTTTACTGTACGGCACTTTGGTCAGCTGTCATGCTGTTTTTAAATGTGCTGTATAAATAAACATGGTATGGCATGGTAAACATTTCCCTTTTCTCAGGATCCCAGCAACGATTGTGAGCCTTACCGTAAGATTGGAGTAGAGACCATTGCACCGTGTGGAGCCATTGCTAACAGCCTTTTCAACGGTGAGCCGGGATCTGCTGTCGACTGAAACGTTCTGTAGAAGTTTTGCTTAAACCTGCAGATTTGTGTTCTAATTAAAAAGCTCCGTTTGCTGTTTCAGACTCTCTGGAGCTGTATTACGTAGAACCCAGCGGTGCCCTAAATGCAGTCCCTCTGGCGAAGAAAGGGATCGCCTGGTGGACGGACAGGAACGTGAAGTTCAGGAATCCCGCTGGGGTCGACCTACCTACGGCTTTCAAAGGTGAGCTTTTCAAACCGAGCGTCTGTAGAGGTGTAATCGCTGGAGGTGACCTGAGTAGCTTTCCCTCGCAGGCACCGCCAAGCCGGTGAACTGGAGGAAGCCGGTGTATGAGCTGGACCCGTCCGATCCTGATAACAACGGGTTTATCAACGAAGACTTCATCGTGTGGATGCGCACGGCTGCTCTGCCCACCTTCCGGAAGCTCTACCGCATCATCCACAAGAACCAGAGCAGCACCTCTACTCTACCCAGTGGGAGATACGTCTTGAACATCACCTACAGTATCCTTTACACTTCAAACTGTTTACAGCTTACTCTTTTAGATTTCAACAGGTCAGGAATATTATGGTGAAGCTTTAAAATCTTACTACACTTACACAGGGCTGGGCCGTTTGGGAAGATTCCTATCAGCCGTATTTCCATATCAGCCGATATTGATACACATCAGGATAAAGTTTAATATTTACATGCTCCAGTGGGCGGCTCCAAGGAAGAGGCTCCAGCTGCTACTTTACATCTGCGCGGCTCTGTTCCGGCCTCAACACGGAGCAACTCTTACCCGGCCTTTCCACTGGATGCGTAAGCGGCGTGTGACGTAGTAGATGCGCTTTACCTGCCAGCTCAGCAGCGCTGGGTGTCTCAGACACAAACGGCAGCACACACGTACCGCACAGCTGGTTCAGCAAGGTCACAAAATCACCGGAGAATCACAAGACCACGCGCGATTTCAGCAGTTCAGCCGATAGCAAGCAAGGAGGAAGTTGGCGGCGTGCATCGTAAAAGGTCTGGTTTGTGTTCCGTTCGCCTCGGCTGTGGACGTTTCTCAGATAATGACGGATACATTTTTACTAGTTGATCAACGGGAAAGCCACGTGTCTTTTATTTTGAAAGTTTCAGGTTTTTCTACGCTGCATTTGTGTTAAATTTAGCAGAGCGACGTGTCACTACGCTTATGGGATGCATCCAACCAGGGGAAACGCCGACTCTAACGGCGGTTAATTGCTTCGTATTAGGCTTCGTGGACGTTATGCGATGCTTACGCGTAGGGCTAGGCAATATGGCCTCAAATCTATATTGCGATATATCTGAAGCATGTGCTATTACGATATATACTGCAATATTTTTTTTCCTTTGTTTATATATGTCAAAATGACATGCTTTAAAAAAATCCTCATATGGAAAATATATCGCAGCAGAATAAAGACGTCCAAAAAGTGTAGAATGCTGCTCCTCCTCCCGCTACGTGCTTGCGGTCACTGCCATTCTGTTGTTCCAATGTCGGCGCAGGTGCACATCTTAGTGGCTTCACGTGTTATCGCGGTAGAGCCAAAAATGTATCATTACCCAGTTTTATATCGTTTCTGCCTCATATCGTTTATAGGCCTGCAGCTATCGAATATTTTTGTAATCGAGTACTCTTATCAAATCTTTTATCGATTAATCGAGTACTCTAATAAATTACTCTTTTGCGTTTGTAATCCATTATATCAAATAGCATGTTATAAAATATGAAAGACCTCTTAAAATGAGCAATTGCCAGTTATTCTTCAAGTTTTATTCAAAATGAGTTTTCAAAACTTCAACACTTCAACTTTACTTCACAGTAAACAAATGCGAGCGGCTGCGGCCCAAACAGCACCAGAACCGCTCACGGCGCATGCGCAAACATGGCTCGCCAGCTGTTTCCCTATTTACACACGTCCGTTTTAATTTCTACACTTTTTTTTGTCTCACACTAACAAGGATTACAGAGAAAGCATGTTTGCCGTGGTTATGTCGACTTATCCTGATCACAAAACATTTATTTACTTCATTTCATTTTCCTCCGCCACTCATAAATACCCGTCCTCCTGCAGCGATCCTGAGGGACTTCGGACATCAATAACAACACAGTAAAAAGTCCAACGTGTTGTAAAAACTGCTATTTTTAGCACATTTTAAGTCTGACGTGTTGCTACCAGACGTACGGTGTGAGCTGAAACTGAGTGGTACAAATGAAAAAGTCGCACAGCGTCTGCAGAATATATAGAAATACAGGCTAAAATGCATTATCTTGTAGAGGCTCCGAGTCCGCTTGCAGAAGTGACATTTACACGTGGGCGTTTCCTGGTCAGGTGCTGCAGCATGGAGGATGTGGTGTTGTGGTACGCTACATCCATTTTACAGTATTTACACTGGACTACGTTTTCCTCCTTGGTCCCACACCTTTGACATTTTCTGTCTTTTTCGCACTCCACCAGGATCCACGCTGTCCGCCATGACTTAAGAGGAAGTTAAGTTACATTCGCTACTCGCGTTTGTATGTGCGCCACTTATTTCGGTCCGGGTGAAACATGACCCCGGGCGATTGCAAAGCCATGAATTAATTAAACATGAATTAAACGAAGCCTCGAGGCAGAGAATTTGACTCGAGGATTTTTTGTACTCGAGGTACTCGAGGAATCATTTCAGCTCTGATCGTTTATATTGCCCACCCCTACTTATGCGTCTGATGGAAAGGCCGGTTTATTTTCATTGGCCATTCATCCCGTTCTCTTGTCTGTTAAACGAAAGTTACTTTGAGGTTTAAATCGTTGAATCGTTTTACCGCCCAGCTCCACATAAATGTAAAGCCTCTGAAATGCTGATAATCCTTTTGATACTCAAGCATCTAGTCATTCCTTCACTTCATGTAATCAGATTACCCCGTGCTCAGCTTCGACGGACGAAAGCGAATGATCCTGAGCACCATCTCCTGGATGGGAGGGAAGAACCCCTTCTTGGGCATCGCCTACATCACCGTGGGCTCCATCTGCTTCTTCCTGGGTGTTGTTCTGCTCATCATCCACCATAAGTACGACACCCGCAGCAACAGCGCAGATATCCCAAACTGAGTAGCTCCCGCGCCGTTCCCTCGTCTCTGCATGCGCCGCTGGCCCTTAAGGGCCCCCTGGACTGCTGGTTTGTTTCGTTTGGTTGCACTGTGAATATTTGTGGCGTGATCAGAGAATGGCAAACGTGTTTCTAAGCCTCTGATGTTTATGTCGTGTGTTTCTGTGCATTTAGCATCAGGCCATCTGATGATGAAGTCTACTTTTGTTTCATTTACACTTTATTTATCTTTTCATAATAAAAGTGCCCCCGTGTTTTGTTTTAGCGAGGCCTTGCTAACGGCTTATTTTGAAGGATGTATCTATTCTTCAGTGCAAATGTTAATGTTCCACGTTGTATTCTGGGACGCGTCCTGCTGATGAATGTAACCCGTGGGCTCTGGCTTTTAGGATGATCTGACAGAATAGTTGTTGCTCGTGTGCCGGTGATGGTAAACATTGATGTCTAACAGATTATTTAATCCTAAAACAGACACATATCTATCCTGCTCGCAGACCGATCTTCCAACATTTACTTATTTAAATTTGTATCGATTACAAATTACTGTTAAATTCAGTATTCCTAATTCCAGAACGTTTGCAGCATCTCTCTGGCTGATTGCAGCACAAAAATATAAAACTTATAGATTCATCTGATTTTTAAATAATCTACAAAAATCTTTTAACACAGACCAAATGTTATGCACTTTACTAGAGTCACGGTATTCAGTTAGTTAGTTTAGCCCATTCTGTAATGTTGTTTTCATGAATTATTGATACCAGTAGATTATTTAAATGAGAGGTTCTTGGGTTTTATAAGGTTTCTAGGGTCCAAATAAAGAGCTTGGTCTTTATGTTGGTGTCTTTTGTGGTTTTTGTACTTAAATGGTATTCTTAAATTGACAGTAGGCATGTTTCCATTACCAGAACTCCAGGGTAGTTCCTGGGATGGGAAACTTGACCAGGAGATGGGATGTTCCCGTCCTCTCAGCTGGTGTGTCTCCGTTCAAATTCAGCCCTTTCAGAACTTGCAGCGCATCACGACCGCTTTGGCAGTGAGTGATGTCACTGATCAGCCCCAGAAAGCGCCCAAAGTAACAATAATATTAAAAGCATATATTTTATAGAAATATATCATGATTTAATCCATTCAGAGGACAAGAGCAGCTCTTGAGTTTTGTGAGACAAGCCCCATTTGTGGAGGAATTCCACCGAGTTTTCCAGTGTGGGGCGTTAGGTTTTAAATGTGATCTGTGCTTTTGGTTTATTTTTCCTTCCATTCTGTTTCACCAGCAACTCTTCTAATGGTACTGCTGCTGGTTGTTTTGGACATCTGCTGATGTCATTTCCTACTGAGTTACAACCAATCGGCGTGCGTTAACCGGAGGTTCCGCTCACCTACTCCACCTGCCGTTCGGAGCACCTACTCCAGAGCGGGTACAGTACACGGAAGCTTCCTGAAAACGGCCGTTCGGTCAGGTGGAGACCGAGTATACATGTCGATGGTGGAGACGCATGTCGGGAGGTTCCCGTAAATCTACCCTGAAGTTCTTGTTGTGGAAACACGCCTAATGTGTAGTTTTTACTGTTGATCTCTGTAAATATCAATCAAAATGTATTAAATGATGCCCAGTTGTTGAAAAATGTTCACGGTTTCCTAACATATAACCATAAAAATCAGGTCTAAAATACATGGGAGCGGGTCTGTCTCCGGACGCTGCCATATCAGACGCCATGTTTCCTTCTACAGGAGTGTTTACTGCCCCCTATCGCCAGGAAAAACACATGCTGTCACTTTCATGCAGTTAGTTTCTAGCTACCTTTAGATTTTGAGAATTTAAATTAGATAAAAATAATATGATTATAAATTATTACTTTATTAGGCTCCATTATTTTGAAAGTTACACCACTGCTGCAGATAATAATTTTTTAGTTGATGATTTATATGGCTACATGTAGAAGTTTCTCATTAAATATTATTTAGGATGTGATATTTTGTTTAATTTAAAATATACTAATAATCGGCCCTTCAGAAATTCTCAGGAATCATTTTGTTTCGTTCTTTGCTGCCATCTGCTGGTCATTTTTTACTTTGCCACCTTTTTTTCACAGGGGCCTTTATAGAATACCTTGCAAAGAGGCCAGTTTTTACAATTGTCACTGTGGGCTCCATCTGCTTCTTCCTGGGTCAAGGGGACCGGGCCTTCTCGGTAATGGCACCAACCATTTGATTGAGCTCCCTCTGACAGTAAAGCAAGCTCCATTCAAGCAGGTAAGAGTTGGCACAAGAGGCTGAGGAAAGGGAAGTCTGGGCCTCTCATCTCCAAGTGCTCGCTGCAAAACCACACAGGCGGAGCTGCATCAGAGTCAGTCCAATTCCTTCCAGTTGTCTGATAGAGTTGACTTGATAGCATTCTGGAACCAAAGAGGGTGTTATAGCTAATATCATCTAAAATGCAAGATTGAGGACGGAGTTGAGAAGTTAATTGAACAGTTTTTGTAAAGCTTCCATATAATTAAAAATCTAACTTTTGGAACTTTTTACCATGTTATATTGTCGTTTCCTCATAAGAAACGTGCCAAAGCCATTTTTGGCCTCATTCATGCATTTTCCTCCCATCTCAGCTTCAATTTGGTCTCCTCCCCCGAAGCCGGTCTGGTCTTGGTTCTCAAATCTGGATATTCTGTGAATTTTCTGACAAATTATTTCTGAAATGACTTCTACTGAGACACCGCCGGAAAAACCATACATCCCATCTACAAAGACACACTGGATGGGACAATTACATGTAACGCCACTTCCTTTTTTTTATCAGATGTGGTGGTGTAGTAGTTATGGAGGCAGGTTGACATGCGGTTTTGCACTGGTTCGCTTCCCATTAGAGGTAGTATAGAAGTAGTTTACAACCCTTTTCCTTCTTTTCTAGCTACACTTGCCAGAACTATGTTTACAACAATTTATTGGTATACCGTTTACAATATAATGACTAATGTTTCTTTTTTTTTTTTGTTGTTGTTTATTTAGCCAGTGTGAGTCCATTTGTGGGCAGAGTTTCAACTAAAATGCTGTTTAGGAACGACCAAATTCAAAGAACTTTTAGAGACATAAACATTTTGCAGAAAATAAACATTACAACTAAAATATAAACAAATTAAATGTTTCAGCTGGCTAAATAGATTTCTGCCGACCCCACCTAGAGTCGAACCAGCATCAGCTGAGGGGAAAACAAAATTCCTACGTGACGATCTTGTCACTGGACTACCAGAACCCATTCAGATACCGTAAATGCTGTTGTTCACAGCTTTTGTTGGAGCGGCTGTGGGCAGCTATTTATTGCTAAAAGAAATCTTTTCATTTCGGGATATATTTAGGCTTTGTCATGTAGAAAGTTATATTTATCTTGTTTAATTGGAGCATAGAACATAGCATTAACATTAGTAAACTAGTAACAGCCATAATTCATGGGGATCAGGTTGGTTTGCGATAAAGTTGAAAAACAAAAACAGAAGTCAGTGGGCTAGGCTGAGTTTGCGTGAATGGGCGGGGCTGACTCTGGTGCAGCTCCGCCTTTGTGGTTCTGGAGCACCCTCGATTTGGGCTGCTGCACTCGCGAGCCGACTCTGGATAAGCGGAGCCCCGGTGTCGGTACAGTATCTGCTCGGGTGCAAGATCGGCTCGGGGTCCTTCGACTCCCGATGACGTCAAAGTACGGCAAACCGACTCGGACAAAATGCACTACACATCTATACTGTTGGAAAGAATTTAGCACTTTCGTTATTAAAATAATGTTTCTTAAGACATAAGTTTGTGTTTATAATGGTATTTGTAAAATAAAACACTATTTCTTATATATCTTATTCATAATGTTGAACTCCTCTTTGAGCACATCCCTTGGCTTGAAGAATCATAGGTATTAGCAACACCTGTGAAATTGTATTTGCAGGAAAGAAGTGTGTCCCGTTTATTTAAGTATTTTGTGTTTAGAGTTGTTGACGTCTTGTCATAGACTGTAGCTGCTAGCCAAAACTCTGGAGTTAAAAGTTTTCTGGCTTTACTAAAAAACCTGTCTGTACTTATTTGATTGATGGTATTTTTACTTTCTATTGGACTCCAAATGTAATCATTTGGCACGTTTGTAATTCATAATTTGCAATAATGTAATCGGCGATATTAGCATTAGCATTCCTATGGGTTTTTCCATGTATATTAGCATTGCGCTCACCACTCGCTGCCAAATTGCAGCCTTTGAGATTAGAAAATCTCCTGGCTTTACTAAAATACCTGTCTGTACTTATTTGATTGATGGTATTTTTACTTTCTTTAAGACTCCAAATGTAATCATTTGGCACGTTTCTAATTCATAATTTGTAATAATGTAATCGGCGATATTAGCATTAGCATTCCTATGGGTTTTTCCATGTATATTAGCATTACGCTAACCACTCGCTGCCAAATTGAAGCCTTTGAGATTAGAAAATCTCCTTTTGTCACATCGCAATTTAATTGCACATGCAGTTAATCGTTCAGCCCTAATATACATGCAGCTCTATGCTAAAAGTGTATTTTCAAAGAGGTAATGATGGATTTCTTTGTAAAAGTTGTCCATCTTTCCAATAGAAAGATTTGCCTGGACCAACGTAACGTGATAACAACGTAACGTGATTACGTATTTCCGTAAGGTTCATGTTCAGCCAATCAACTACTTAGACGTCATCGGCAGTCGACGGACCCCGAGCCGATCTTGCACCCGAGCAGATCCTGTACCGACACCGGCGTCAAGGGCGGGCCCGGCCCGCCCATTTTCCGATCTGGCCCGCCCAGGACAGATTACAGCACCTCATGCAAATGTACTGGCTCGAGACGATCAACAGAGGGCGCTCTAAGTTACTAATCGACAGTTTTAGATGCAGTAGAAGAAGACGCTTTGTTACAGTAGCTTCCCTACTAACACAGAAAGTCGGAGAGGGAGGCAAGATGGCGGAAGGAGCAGACGTTCTGTAAGGAGCTCCGGTAGCAACCTCAAAGAATGGTCTAATTTAAGAACTATTGTTACTTAATGTTTAATGAAAAATCTCATCGGGAATATAAAACTACCCTCTACAACTAGTACTGGTATTAGCTAAACAAGAGTGGATGAGGCCATACGTGAAACACGAAGAAATGGCTAAAGCTAACAGCAAAGCTCACAAAGCCCTGCTAACTCACGACTACCTTGGTTCAGAAAATATGGACACCAACTCAAGAGGTAATAAAAACCCACTTTCATCACCCTGCAAAGCCACAACATCACACAAAAAACAAAAAGGAGAAGAAGAAACCGACTCTAATGTATCCAACAGTGCGCTACTAGCCGCCATTGAAGGTCTACAAAAAATGATGGAAAGCTTTGGCGCTGACCTCAAACAAAATACACTCTCCATCTCTAACATTGCCAAAGCGGTTGAATTTAACAGCGCTGAAATTCAAGACCGTAAAGAGAAAAATAAGCAGATGGAAAAGCAAATAACTCAGCTGAAAACCACAAATGAAGTGTTAACCAAAAAAGTTGACAACTTGGAAAACAAAGCTTCAAACCTTGACCGATACCAAAGAAAATGGAACCTACGGCTCAAAGGGTTAAAAGAGGACAAAGAGGAGGACACAAGACAAAGTGTATCAGACATCATTAAAAAGATCCAACCCAGCTGGAAGGAGAAGGTTAACTTCATTCTGGATTCTGTTCACCGTATCGGCCCCAAAAACCCTGATCACCCAATACAAGTCATCATACAATTCACCAGCCGTTTCTACAGAGATGAACTTTGGAGATCCACTAAACAACATCCCACATGCAGAGAGCTCAACATCCGATTC